TTGTAGTATTCAAAACTTTTCCACCTTTCGTTTTCTTGATGCCTTTGGGATGAAGGAGGGACTTCTATTCGTCTGGCTGGTACGGTGTTTCAGCACATTCATACGGATTTTCTCAGGTCTTGCTCCGTTTTCATTGCATCGCTGCTTGATTCAGATTTTTGGATTCTTGATTCGTTTGCTCACGTTCTTCCAGTACTGCAAGTTAGTTCCTACAGTTATTTCCTACCGTATCGCTCTGGTGTCTTCTTTTGATCGCACCGCTTTATGCAGCTGTCACCAGTCGCAAATTTTCGTGTAAAAAATGCTGGACGTTCGACATGGTGTGGCAGAATGTCCATCTTGGTCATTCCCATGCTTTTGTAATGTGATTTAAACTTTGCAACAGTCTTTATACTTTCACTTGTGGGATTCTTCAAGCAGATAGCCACGACCTGGTTGCTTCTCTTTGGTTGGTCTGATGTGAAATCGCAGCATACACTATGCAGATCCGACACGCTTCTTCCAAGCCTTGACTTTCTGGCAAATATATTTGCCAGCACCTTATGCATCATGTTCATCTTATCTTGAAATTATATTTTTGTGATCTGTGGAGGTCGAAAACGGTATTATTTTGGCTTTAACCCTCAGAGCAATGACTCAGAACTTTGTCGTCACCAAATTGCCCATGTTTCTCATTATTTTAGCTACCTTGTTAGTTTCGTTCGCTATGTCGTTGCTACTGTTCTTCCTGGTAATCTTTGGAGTTCGTCCATCGTGGAGTTTAGTTTATTCCGTTGCACTATCGTTGTGGCGGCCACTCCGAGTGGTTTTGTCTAATTTTCTACGAACTTGCTTCTTGATGCCTAATGTTTCGCTTTCTGTTAGAACGTAGAGGATGAAGATCACACAGACTTCATCGGTAAGTCTCTGTTCAATTGTCGTTGATTCTGGTCACAATCGTGATGGGGGAAGAGGGGGACGGGGGAGAGGGGTAGTGTCGTAATGGGTTAGTAGTTTGTTTACAAATGCCGGGTTGAAAGTGTATGGATTTTCTTTCATTTAATGATAATTCGCCGTTAAAGCAGCAGCATGGTGTTCTGACGCGATCCTGCAAAGCATGTGAGATATGCCGCCATGTTGTCTGATGCATGCGCCGCCTTTCAGACCCACTTGGCATATAAATGAAAACCAGCTGAAGGTGTAAAAGTCAATTTTTAATTTTACTTTGCTTTTTTTTAATGACACACATTCTTTATCTTTCTGTGACTGTAGCAGTGAAATATACTTGGATGACTTCTACATTCATTTCTCATCTCCAATTCGTCTGCCAGATTTTGTTTCTTT